CATTTTTGCTTAGGGGGGCAAGTGGTTTCATTCTTTTTTTACTTGTAAATGGAACGATATGTGCGCTTAATGTATGTTTACTGTAATTTTTCAGATTCTGGGTTAAAGTGGAACAAATAGATGCTATAGGTTACAAAGTGATGGAAAGTTATGAATTCGGCTTTCCCAATTTTGGAATGCGGAAAGAACTTGGCTATTTGAACGCTAATAAAAGTTAGGGACACGATTTTACTTGTAAGAATCGGCGGATCCATCACTATTCAACAACACTTGAAATAACAGAAACTGTTCTCATGGAGCTGATGTTTTTGAGGTGTATTTAATTGAACCATTATAGCCTTTATAGGCTTTTTAAAAGTGAATTGCTATTTAAAGCCCCTATTACTAGTCACCGCCCCCAAATTACGAAAATATCTTTTACTCTATTTCTCTTACTCTCTCTCTAATCTATCTATCTCTCTAAAACCGAATCTTCAACGAGCCATACGAGCATCAAAAAAATTCCGAAAAAATGTCGAAAAAATCCTACGGTCTCGGCAAAGCGTTCTTCGCTAAGAAGGTAATTTTTTTTTTTAACAATTTAAATAATTTTAAAAATTTATTTTTAAAATCTGGAGCCGCGTCCTCCAAAATCTTCTAAAGACACCTGCAATGTATTTTTAATAATTTTAAAGCATTTAAAAATAATAAAAAAATAAAAAAAAAATAAAAAAAATGATGTCGACCGGTCGGACCGGGTTACAACCGGCCGTCGTGGCCGGACACCAAGTGGGCCGTACGGCCGGTCGGTTAGTACAACGACCGGTCCGTACGGCCGGCATTACCGCACGCCCATAGGTGTGTCCGGTCGAACCGGCCGGACGCATGTTAAGCCGTCCGGTCCGGTCGGTCGGACACCACCAGTTGCGTGGCACTTTTCCGGCCGGACAAAACAAAAAATACCTCTGAGCTGCTGGACATTGTGCAAATGAGAAGGGCAAAATCGTTCAAGGGGGGCGGTGACTAGTAATAAGGGGGCGGTGAATAGCAACGCCCTTTTTAAAATGATTGACTTTGGTGGATTTGTAGAACTTTAATGATTTTTTGGTGCACTTATGAAATTTTCATGGAATTCTTAGTGCAAAAGAGCTATGTCCGACTCACATGACCAGAACTTGTGCTCGACATGTTCGTAGACCTGCAAAATGGGCCGGAAGGGATTTCCTGCCTTAGCACTATCAAGTCAGTCGATGAATGAAAAAGATGATCTCATAATATGGTTTTTGTAATAATTTTTCAAAATATACAAGTTTAAGTATTTTTTTTTTTAAATGACAAGT